ACCCACATGGGAGATCCGGAAGAATCTCCTGGCTCCTGGCTTTGGATTGGCGCAGCTCCGGCTGTTGCAGCCATCTGGGGAGTGAACCAGTGGATGGAAGACCTCTCTCTTTGCCTCTCCTTCTCTCTGTGTAACTTTGACTTTCAAAATAAATAACTAAATCTTTTTAAAAAATAATCTGTGTGACAATGCATTATGTAGTCTTTTTATTTATTTATTTATTTATTTATTGACAGGCAGAGTTAGAGAGAGAGAGAAAGGTCTTCCTTTCATTGGTTCACCCCTCAAATGGCCTCTACGGCCGGTGCGCTGCACCCATCTGAAGCCAGGAGCCAGGCGCTTTCTCCTGGTCTCCCATGTGGGTGCAGGGCCCAAGCACTTGGGCCATCCTCCACTGCCTTCCCGGACCACAGCAGAGAACTGCACTGGAAGAGGAGCAACCAGGGAAGAATCCAGCGCCCCAACTGGGACTAGAACCTGGGGTGCTGGTGCCGCAGGTGAAGGATTAGCCTAGTGAGCCATGGCGCCGGCCCGTTATGTAGTCTTTAAAAATCTTATTTGATGGGGCAGGCATTGTGGTGCAGTGAGCTAAGCTGCCTCTGGGGATGTCCACATCCTGTATAAGAGTGTCTGATTCGAATCCTTACTACTCTGCTTTCTATCTAGCTCTCTGCTAACGCGTCTGGAAGGCAGCAGCTGAAGTCCTTGGGTCCCTGGCTCCTGGCTTTGGCCTGCAGCCATTTGGTTGAGTGAACCAGTAGATAGAAAATCCCCCTACCTGTCTTTCCTGGGTCACTCTGCATTTCAAATAATAAGTTAATAAATCTTTTTTAAAAATAACACGTGGGGTTTGGTGTTGTGGTACAGCAGGTTAAGCCATTGCCTGCATTGCCAACATCCCATGTGACAGCCGGTCTGAGTCCTGGCTGCTCCACATGGGTTTCAGCTCCCTGCTAATGTGTCTGAGAAAGCAGCAGAATATGGCCCAAGTGCTTGGTCCTCTGCCACCCACATAGGAGCCCTGGATGGAGTTCCAGGCTCCTGGCTTCAATCTGGACCGGCCCTTTGAGGCCATTTGAGGAGGGAACCAATGAATGGAAGATTGATCTTCATCGCTCTCCCTCCCTCTGTAACTCTGCCTTTTAAATAAATCAATCAATCCTTAAAAATAAACAAATAAAAATAAGGTTTAATGGGGCGGGCATCGCAGTACAGTGCATCCCATATTCAGAGTACCTAGGATTGAGTCTTGGCTCCACTTTTTTTTTTTAAGACTCATTTATTTATTTGAAAAGAAGAGTTACAGAAAGAGACAGAGACAGAGAGGGCAAGATCTTCCATCTGCTGTTCACTCCCCAAATTGCCACAACAGCTGGAGCTGGGCACATCCGAAGCTGGGAGCCAGGGGCTTCTTCCGACCTCCCACACGGGTGCAGGGGTCCAAGCACTCGGGCCATCTTCCATTGTTTTCCCAGGCACATTAGCAGGGAGCTGGATGGGAAGTAGAGCAGCCAGGACTCGAACCGACGCCCATATGGGGTGCCGGTGTCATGGGTGCTGGCTTTGCCCGCTGTGCCAACAGTGCCAGCCCCCTGGCTCCATTGCTGATCCAGCTTCTTGCTAATGATGATGGCCCAAGTGCTTGTGTCCCTGCTACCATGTGGCAAACCCAGTTGGAGCTTCAGGCTCCTGGCTTTGGCCTGACCCAGGCCTGGCTGTTGCAGCCATTGGAGAGCCAATCAGTAGATGGAAGATCTCTTTCTCCTTCTCTCTCTCTCTCTCTGTCACTCTGCCTTTTAAATAAATAAATAAAACTTTAAAAAATCATGTTTAATTGTTGATGGCAGTTGGGCCTCGGAAATGCTAGGGGAGACTGAGGGTTTTACCTTTCTACTTTGTATTTCTCTGGACTATTTACCGTGAGCGTGTGTTATTTTTATAAAGAAAGCTATCATGTTTTAGACTGTTTTTAATTACATAGAGAAATTATTCCATAGCGCTGAATGGGGAAAAAGCAGGTGATAAATTCACGTCTACGTAATGTGATCCTTTGTATATCGGGATATACATAGAGGCTGCCATAAGCCTGGAAGCTGGTCCCTGGCACAGATGAAGTGCCGAGTGGATGCATAAGTCCTGATGTCATGATGCTAATGCCTGCATGTATGAATGAAAACTACAGTCAGTGAACTGATCTGCATTCTGGGGTTAGAAATGATTTGTTTTTACTTTTTCCTTTTCCACTTTCTCCTATTTTTCAAATTTTCTTCATTGACCATATATTTTTAATCCATTAAACTTCTTTATAAATTGCAATTATAAAAACATATTCTCCATAATAAATGTTGAACAAAAAGGATTTGATGCTCAACGTTAAACTGCTTAATTGAAATCTGACTGTATGTTTTTAAAGGTTTATTTCACTTATTTGAAAGGCAGAGAGTTAGAAAGAGGTCTTCCATCCGCTGGTTCACCCCCCAGATGGCTGCAATGGCTGGGGCTGGGCCAGGCGAAGCCAGGAGCCAGGGACTCCATCTGGGTCTCCCACACGGGTGCAGGGGCCCGATCACTGGGGCCTTTGGCTGCTGCTTTCCAAGGCGCATTGCCTGGAAACTGAAATAGAAGTGGAGCAGCCAGGACGCAAACCGGAGCTCATATGGGACGCCAGCACTGCAGCATAACCCGCGGGGCAACAGTGCCTGTCTGTGTTACATGATAATAAGTGAATCTTCACATCCGTATGGTTTAGCAATGTTCCCGCCACACTTCCCCCCGTCCCTTCATCCTCATGGCACCCCGAGAGGTCTCGACAGGAAATCAACAAGACACAGCAGGGAAACACACACACACACACACATGCGCGCACACACACGCACACACATGCACGCACACACCCTAACACGTGCACACTCAGCACACAAACCCACTGAGGTCTTGGGTGAGTGGCAGACCTGGGGATCAGATCACAGCATAGACTCCACTTGGAAGTGGAGCTGGAACACGAACCCAGCACTCCAAAACGGGACGCAGGCATCCCAAGCAGCGCCTTAGCCGCTGCCCCAAGCGAAGGCCTGCCCTCCCAGCACATGTTTCTGACTGAGCCTCCTGGCCTCCCCATGGTCCGATAGGCTCACGAGTGGGGGCAGCAGAGCAGCAGGGGACGAGTGGTCCCTCCTCCTCGCCGGCCCTCAGTGTGAGGCCTCCCGCTGCCTGTGCCTGGAAGACCCCGTCGGGACCAGGGCGCTCCTGCCCCTCTCGCTGCCCTCGTCCAGAGTGGGGTCTGCACGGAGACGGCATGTCCTTGGAAATACAAGAGCCCATGTGGTGTCAGTGCTTCCAACGCAGCTCTGTCCAGCGGCTCAGTCGGTGGGTGCCGGTGGCTGGGGTAGCTGGGTGCAGAGTGTTCTCTGAGTCACAGGGCAGAAACCCCATGGCACAGACCAAGTAAGAATTAGGGGGAAAGCAAGATTATGGGGCTAGCATCACACTAGACACGTTGGTCATGCACGCTGGAAACCAGAGACTAAGAACAAATAACAGCTATTGTTCACTGAGCACCTGTCACATGCCACCTATTATTTCATTTAATTGTCCATCATCCCCGTATGGGTGGTGTTATACCCATTTTACAGGTGATGAAAGTGAGACTCAGAAAAGTACCCATCCCAGTCCTCAGAGAACAAATGGTAGAGTTGGAATTCAAATCCAGAACTAATGTCCAGGCTTGACCATGCACATGGTGTTTGGGGTGGACAGTGTAAGAAATGGCTGGATTTAATGAGTTCCTTCCAGACGCCAAGGCCTGGTCTATGTGGTTTTTGTGTGGGATCTTATTTAATCTTCAGAACAGCCTTGTGAAGTGTGTGTGATTAGGCTCATTTTACTGATGAGAAAACCGAGGCTCAGGGTTCACACTGAGCCAAAAACAAACAAACAAAAAAGTCTTTTTAAGGAACGCACTTAGTGGAAAGAGTAAGGCACATCCTCAAGCCAGGGATCGGAGCCCCAGAACCCGGAGGCCTGGGTGGGGCTGCTGGGTTGACAGTGTCTTCACTCAGTGGAGGCAGCAGAGGGATGAAGGATGTGATTTTGGGTGAGTATTAGCCAGCCTCAGTTTTCTCGTCCGAAAAATGGGGCCACCAAAGACCTGCTGTTCAGCGTTGTCCTGAGGATTCAGTGAGATAATGTGTGTGCCGCACGTGCTGTCACTGTCAGCAATGTCTGTAGCTGGCCTGGGATCACCTCCCCCACCCCCTGCTCCTGCCACCCCCCCCCACCCCCCGCCAGCCATCGCTGTCCCAGCACAGCATGGCGGGGGGGGGGGGGGGGGTTCTGCAGGGAGCCAGTTGAGCCACTCCCGGCTATCTGACCTTCGTGCAAGGCACTCACCCTCCCTGGGCCCCAATCTGGGTGGCCAGGGAGGGCAGGGGGCAGGGGATGCCCGCCTGGGCTGTTCCCAGGGGCCTTGCCACACTCAAGCGCGCTCTGACTGCCCCTTTACATGGACGTCACTCTCAGCAAAAGCTCTGGGGCCGTGGCAGCCCCGGGGGACTGTCCCCGAGGCGTCTCCAAAGGGACACCCCGCCCCCCTGCCCGCCCCCACCAGCCTGGGCCTCCCTTCTGCCACAGCCCCTGGCAGGGCACTCCCACTGCAGCAGTTGGCGGGAGAGTGACTCAGCCGCCACAGCCCCCTCCTCAGACTCACGCCCCCACAGCCCTGCTTTGGAAAAAGGGTGGTTTTCATTTCTTTCCTTTTTTCTTTTTCCTTCAAAGCACTGTTACTTGTTCCGTCCAGGGCCGTCTGTCCCGCAGCCTCCTTGGGCTGGGCCAGAGGTCTCCGGCCAGCCCTCTGAGCCCCCCGACCCAGGGCAGGGTCCCTGCCGTTACGGTGGGCTGTGTGGCCCTACTGTGCGTGAAGGGAGAGCTGGGCCCTGGGAGGCCCCCGCTGGCCCCCTATTATATTGGCTCCTATTAAATTGAAACACATAGCACATCTATTACACAATAAACCACAGCTATTTCATGGATCAAATTAAGTTTTATTTGGGCAAATTACAACCTTTCCTACAGTCGTGCCTTTGTGAGGCCATTCCTTTTTAATAAAAGCAAGCATTTCTGGGACTGGCCCTCCTGGACCAAAGCTCCATCATGGTGGCTTGGGGTCTCAGGCTGGGGCTGGCAAGGGGCTGGGAGTGTGAGTGAGTGTGTGTGTGTGTGTGTGTGTGTGTGTGTGTGACAGGAATTCTTGGGGCCCCTCTGGGGAATGGATTTGGCCTCCTCCCCCTCCTGCCTCCCCATCCCAAGGTTGCCATGGAAGTCTTGCAGAGAACTTCTCATTAAACAAGAAAGCAGCAGCAGCGGGGAGGCATTTCCCGGAATCCGGGAGGAAGTGAGTCACTGGCCCGCTAAGTGAGCCCTGCGTGGCCACTGCGGCCCCGGCCCAGGAGGCCTGGAGTGAAGGGCCGGCCATCGGGGCCACGCCAGGCCGGCCCGAGTAGACACGCCTGCTGCCCAGGCTGACACAGGCTCCAGGAATGCAAACAAAGCAGGGTGGAGGGGGCCTTCCGAAGGCTGGGGCGCCGGGCCAGGCAGGAGGCAGCCGGCACGCAGGAGGGGCCCGGGGCCTCAGTGCAGCCACTCTGCGGCGGCCGCGGTGAAGCCCCAGACCCGCGCGGTGCGAGCCGGCCTCCCAGCTCCTCAGCAGCAGCGCCTGGCACCTTTTCAGAAACCCAGCCAACCTCCCCCCGCCCCACCCCCGCCCCTGTACAGACCCACTAAATCGGAAGCCCTAAGTGAGGGCAGCCGTCTGCGTTCACACAGATGCTCCAGGGGAATGAGGGGTATGCGCAGGTTTGAGGGCCGCTGCCCCCAGGAACACAGGGCAGAGGCTTCGGTACGAGTGTTTACTATGTGCCAGGCAGCGAGCCAACGGCCTCACCTGCACAAACTCATCTTCTCCTCAAGTCAAGCCTGTGAGGTCAGGTCTTGTGATCATTTCTCCATTTCACGGGAGACCGAGTGCTGCTCCCAGCATCCGGGGGCCTAGGAGGTGGTGGGAGAGGCTGGCCCCACTCACAGGTCTGGCCCCGTGCTGGCCAGCCAGTCTGTGGGGAAGCTTCTTCAGTGCCCTGAGCTGTCCCACCACTGACAGGTGGCGAGGGACAGGGCGGGGGTGGGGTGGGGGCCTCTCACTCCAGAACCGGGGAAGGGCAGGGGGAATCGGGCTGGCGGAGTGAGAGGAGCAGGAAGAGACGGGAAGGAAGTGAGGCCAGAGAGATACAGGGTCCAATCGAGTCTTGTCTCTCCAAACGTGGTCCTCGAACCCACGGGATCAATAATACTGGGGAACCTGTCGGAAAAGCAGAATCCTGAGTCCTGCTTGAGCCCACTGAATGGAAATCCGCCCCTTTGGAAGGTTCCCTAGGGACGCGTGTGTACATTCAGGTTCAAGTTCAGGGGGGTGTCCCTGCTGCAGGAGAACCAGCTCCAGCACCTGTACCAGGCTCAGCCCCCTCGCCTGGGGCTCGGGAATGCGATGGTGCTAGCCAAACAGGCACAGTGGGTGGGATGCTCCCCCTTTTCCTGGATTGAGGGTTCCTCCCCAACTTTAGGCCACTTCGTAGCGTGGGGGTGCTGGCCTCTGATCCAGCCTCTGCCACTTACTGTGATCCTTCCTGTTGAACTTCTGTGCCTCGACGTCCCTTTCCTGTAACACAGTCACAGTAGGTCCTCATCAGACATGTTTTGTGCCGATTAAATCCACCCATGCAAGATGCTTAACGGGCAGTGCGTGGCCCCTAACTGCATTCCCACTAGCCACTTGCTCCCAGCCTGCCTTCTTGCCTGCTCTGGGGGCCCTGGGCTGGGGCAGGGATGGAGGCACGGACAAGGCGATGGTGACATGGTGACGTGTGGGAAGGCTGGGAGGCGGTGTCGAGGCGGGGCTGCTGGGCTGGAGGGGGTGCCTGCAGGAGGGCCCCCGTAGGGAAACAAGACCAGCGCCAGGCAGCTCCTTCCTTCGCGTGGTTGTCCGAGGAGAGCACTGCCATTCTCTACGGTTACAGACGAGGGCTGAGGCCCTGGAGGTGCAGTGTCCAGTCTGAGGCCCCACAGTTGGTGAGGAGGTGGAGCTGGTGCCTGGCCAGCAGGACCTGAGCCCCTGTCCCCTGTAGTCCTCGCACTGCAGCCCAACCTCGTCCTTCCAGGGGGACCATAACAAGAAGAATGTCAACGACTTTCCCCAGAGCCCCCAGAGCAGATTGCTGAGCTCACGGGACAGACGGCCACTCTGAGAGCTGGAGAGATGGCGGAATTCAGAGAGGCACGGCAGAGAGAGGCTCACCTGCAGCTCAAGCTTCCGGAGCCGGCAACAGTTAGGAACGCCTATGTGGTCATGTTGGTAAACTTCCGGAAGGTGAGTGTGGACTTGCTCAGAAGTTAACAACTTCTGGGGGCAGAACTGTAGAAGCCCCTCAATAGTCAGGTGGGGTCTAAAGAGCTGAGAGGGCGCCGGATTCTGTCCCGGTTGTCCCTCTTCCAGTCCAGCTCTCTGCTGTGGCCAGGGAGTGCAGTGGAGGATGGCCCAGGTGCTTGGGCCCTGCACCCCATGGGAGACCAGGAGAAGTACCTGGCTCCTGTCATCAGATCAGCGCGGTGCGCCGGCCGCAGCGGCCACTGGAGGGTGAACCAACGGCAAAGAAAGACCTTTCTCTCTCTCTCTCTCTCTCTCTCACTGTCTGTCAAAAAAAAAAAAAAAAAAAAAAAAAAAAAGAGCTGAGAGGTATAAGGCACACTTTTTAAGAAGGATCTCTTAGGGAAACCCAAAGGTAATCATGGAGAAAACAATGACAACAAAACAACAAAGAAGCTCCAGGAATCTGAAGCCGCTGACACTACAGCGACCACAGACCTTTCAGTATTATACAGCTGAGGGCAGGATCAACCTAAAATCTCATACTTGGAGCCCAATTACTTCAGTTCCTATAACCCAATATATTATGCCTGGCTTTCAACAAACATTTTAAAGCATACTAAAAGTCAAGAAAAAACAGAATCTGGGGCTGGCACCATGGCATGGCCTGTGAAGCTGCTGCCTGCAGTGCCGGCATCCCATATGGGCACTGGTTCAAGACCCAGCTGCTCCACTTCCGATCCAGCTCTCTGCTGTGGCCTGGGAAAGCAGTGGAAGATGGCCCAAGTCCTTGGGCCCCTGCACCCACATGGGAGACTTGGAAGAAGTTCCTGGCTCCTGACAGCAGATCAGTGCAGTTCCAGCCGTTTCTGCCAACTGGGGAGTGAACCAGTGGATGGAAGACCTCTCTCTCTCTCTCTCTCTCTCTCTGCCTCTCCTCTCTCTGTGTAACTCTGACTTTCAAATAAATAAATAAATCTTAAAAAAAAAGACAATCTGAAGGATAAACCAAGCATCAGGCCCAGATTGAGAAATCCCAAAGATTTTGGCAATAGTCAGGTGTGGGATTTAAAATCACTACTTGGTTAATATTTTAAGGGCTCTAACAGAAAAAGTAGATCATATGCAAGACCATATTATAAGTATAGGGGCAAAAGCTTACACTCATCCATGATAAAAACTTAACAAAGTGGGACAGAGGAGAATTCTCTCATTTTCCTTGACAAAATATATCCGCAAAACTTTGTTAGCAGAGGTGAGTGGAGTAGGTTGTTGTCTTCACCCAAGAAAGGATTCAGACGTGAGACAGGAGTGGAAAGCAAGGTAGGAAGGTTTGATGGAGCGGGGCACCCGTCAGAATGGATGGGCGTTCTCTAGACAGCGTCTGGGAGAGAGCGCCCCGTCAGACTGGGGAGAGCAAGGCTGCGTGGTGTAATGGAGAGAATGCACGTGGCAGGCCAGGCGGGCGGCTCAGCAGAGAGCTGAGAGCTGAGCACGCAGTCTGTATTCAGGCCGGGGCTTCTAAGGGAAGGGGGTCGGGTTCTCCTGCTGTTTCTCCTTCCTTGCCTCCTCCTCCTCCTCCTCCCCCTCCAGGACAGAGGTTTGCTGAGTGTGAACAGGTGAAACTCCTCCCTAGGTGTCACTACTCAGTGCTGTCAGACTGGGGAGCCCACCTGGCACCGGGCCCAGGAGCTCCCCCCAGGGTGCCTTCCGTGGGTGGGCCAGGACGGCTGTGCTGCCCAGTGATGAGGCTGGGTGACCACTGGTGCTGAGCAGAGGGTTCTCCTGGGGAGCTCTCACGGGGGGAAGGCTGAGGCCGCCTGTGAGGTTGTCGGGGTCTGGGCAGGACTTCGCAGTGTAACCTGCCAGGCTGCTTCCAAGGTGAGCTCCTGCAGAGGCTGCTGCATTCCTCTTACACACAAAGGCTGATTTCTAACTTCTCACCTAACGCATCTGACATCAGACCTACAGCGAGACACTAGCTATACTTTCCAGAAAAGGAAGGAAGAAAGAAGGCAAGGGTGTCCCTTCTCGGGGGCTGGTGCTCTGGGGTAGTGGGCTAAGCCTTCACCTGTGGCTGTAGCATCCCATGTGGGTGCTGGTTCAAGTCCTGGCTGCTCCTCTTCCGATCCAGCTCTCTGCTCTGGCCTGGGAAAGCAGCAGAAGATGGCCCAAGTCCTTGGGCCCCTGCACCCACGTGGGAGACCTGGAAGAAGCTCCTGGCTCCTGGCTTCAGATTGGCCCAGCTCTGGGCATTTGGGGAGTGAACCAGAAAGGAGGACCTTTCTCTGTCTTTCCCTCTGTCTATAACTCTGCCTCTCAAATAGATAAAATCTTTACATTAAAAAAAAAAAAAAAAGACACTCCTATTCAGTGTCTTACTGGAAGTCCCAGCTAAGGCAATAAGAGAAAGAAAGAAAAGGTAGGCAGACTGGGAAGGAAGAAACTAAGTCATGCTCGGTCGCAGATGACATGAAGAAGATCTCAAAGAACCTTAAGGAACCAAACCAAACCCGGAACCAAACCAAACCCAAACCCAAACCTCCTGGAACAGGTAAGTGATTACAGCAAGGCAATCAGACGTCAGCGGTCGGGACAGGCATTGGCACAGTGGTTAGGGTCCTGCCTGGGACATCCCCGTCCCACCTTGGAGTCCCTGGGTTCAAGTCCTGGCCCTGCTCCTGATCCAGCTTCCCGCTCAGACTTACCCTGGGAGACCTAAGGTGATGGCTGGAGTAGTTGGCTTTCTGCCACGCACGTGGAAGATCCAGATTGAGTTCGGCTCGACTTGGCCGGGCCTTGACTGTTGAAAGCATTTGAGGAATGTATAGAGAACAGGAGACCTCTGCCTCTCCATCTCTCTGCCTTTCAAATAGGTAAAATAAAATTAAAAAAAATTTTTAATTCAATTGCCTCCTTAAAAATCAGCAATGAACAACTAGAATTTGAAAATTAAATAGAATACCAGTCACACACACACATAAAAGGATTACTTAGGTATAAATCTAGCAAAATATATACAAGACACCTGCACATGAGGAAATGATCAAGTCAGCCGAGAAGAATCTAAAGAAAACTGACAACCGGCGCCCCCCGAGGGCCCAATGGGAGTGGCAGCGCGGCCCCGCCCTTCTCCTCGCCCCGCCCCCTTGGCCAGAAGGCTATGCTCAGACGGCCAATCACCAACCGCCAGTCACGAACCGCCGACCACCAACCGCCAACCGCCATCAGGCGCCAACTGTCAACCAACTGTCAGTCAAACAGGAGCAGCGACCGCCTCCGAGGAAGCCGCCGCAGGAAGCACATGGCGTCCATCTTACGGAGGCGCTGCGGCCCGGCGCCCGCCCAGCTCCCACGGCCCTGTGCGGCCGCCCCAGCGGGCGCTCTGCGGGGCAGTGCCTGGCCCGGTGTGGGGCCCCCGAGCCGCGCGGACGCGCCCCTGGCCTGCTGTGCCCGCTGCGGCCCGCTGCACCTTTCCCTCGGCGGCTGGCGTCCCAGGCCCGGGCGCTTGCGCTTGGCGGCCACAGCTCGGTGCGCGGTTGCCACGGGACCTCAGGGCCTGCAGCTGCGCCGCTGGCTCGCGTCGTCCCCCCTCGGCCACGACTCGGTGGTGAAGACCCCCAAGCCCGTGGAGGACAAGGACAGGAAGCTGGAGGAAGGCGGCGCCGCGTGCAGCGGCCCCGCCAAGGCGGCGGCGAAGCGGCCGCTGGGGCAGAGGGTCCTGTCCGAGCTGAAGCGCTTCTACCACGGCTTCCGCCTGCTCGCCATGGACACCAGGATCGCCGCGCGCACGCTCTGGAGGGTTCTCAACGGCCACGGCCTGAGCCGCCGCGAGCGCAGGCATTTTGTCCGGGTGTGCGCCGACCTCTTCCGCCTCGTGCCGCTCCTCGTCTTCGTGGTGGTGCCCTTCATGGAGTTCCTGCTGCCTGTCGCCCTGAAGCTCTTTCCCAACATGTTGCCGTCTACGTTTGAGACCCGGTCGAGCCAGGAGGAGAGGCTGAAGAAGCAGCTGCGGGCCAAGCTGGAGGTGGCCAAGTTCCTCCAGGACACGGTGGAGGAGATGGCCTTTAAGAACAAGGCCGCCCAGGGCAGCGCCGTCAGAGACTTAGCTGCGTTTCTGCAGAAGATCCGGGAGACTGGGGAAGGACCCAGCAACGAGGACATCATGCGTTTCTCCAAGTTGTTTGAAGACGAGCTGACTCTGGATAACCTCACGCGGCCGCAGCTCGTGGCGCTGTGTAAGCTGCTGGAACTCCAGGCCATGGGGACCAACAGCTTCCTGCGCTTCCAGCTGTCCATGAGGCTGAGGTCCATAAAGGCTGATGACAAGCTGATTGCCGAGGAAGGAGTGGAGAGCCTCAACATCAAGGAACTGCAGTCGGCGTGCAGGGCGCGAGGCATGCCGGCCCTCGGCGTCACGGAAGAGCGCCTGAGAGACCAGCTGAGGCAGTGGCTGGACCTCCACCTGCATCGGGAGATCCCCACGTCGCTGCTGATATTATCCCGGGCCATGTACCTCCCGGAGACCCTCTCCCCCGCCGACCAGCTCAGATCCACATTGCAGACCCTTCCAGAGGTGGTCGTGAAGGGAGCCCAAGTGAAAGTGGCCACGGTGGAGGGTGAGCAGGTGGACAATGAGGTGAAGCTGGAGGCCACGCGGCAGGAGGACGTGGCCATCCAGCAGGAGCGTCGGGAGAGGGTGTTGCAGAATGTCTCCCAAGTGGACAGGGAAGGGGTGGAAGCCAGCCCTGGGAGGCCAGAAGTACCGGAAGTGATCCTGCCATCGGAGACACTGCAGGGGCCTGCCCCTGTCTTAAAGGAAGAGGGAATAACCACGGAGGAAATTGACATGCTCAGCAACGTCTGCTCTAAACTGAAGGAGCAGAGCAAGTCCCTAACCAAGGAGAAGGAGGAGCTGGAGCTGCTGAGGGGAGACGTCCAGGGCTACAGGGAGGACTTGCAAGAGGTCAAGAGGGAGCTTTCAAAGAATGGTGAAGAAGAATACACGGATGAATCTAAAGCCAGCACAAGACTGACCAAGAGAGTGCAGCAGATGATTGGACAGATGGACAGCCTGATTTCACAGCTGGAGTTGGATCAGAGGACTGGCAGGCTGGGCCCGGCAGAGGGCCGGCTTGCAGGGGAGAGCATCGTCAATGTCACCGAAGTCATCCGTGCCATGAAGCAAATCAAGCACATTCCAGAAAGGAAGCTGGTGTGCTTGGCCTCAACACTGGATGTCAATAAGGATGGCAAGATCAACATGGACAGCCTCACCAAGGTGATTGAGCTGGTCGACAGAGAAGACATCCCCGTCCCCACCAGCCTGGTGGCCAAGCTTGTGGCAGTTCTGGAAAAAGAGCGAATGGTGGCCGAGAAGGAGAAGGCGAAGAAGGAGGCTGCGCAAGTGGAGCGCTAGGACTGGCCTTGGCTTCAGGCATGTTGGTAGCACTGCCTGGGCCTGCCTTCCTCTGCCGCCACGCGGCTGGGGTAATGACTGGTAGTGATTGCTGTGGGTGGTTTTTAGTTGCAAATCTAATATTTTCTCTAGAATAAATCAAATTTCAAAAAAGCATATTTCATGTTCATGGGTAGGAGAATTCAATATTGACATGATATCAGTTCTTCTCAAATTGTTGTATTTATTTGACAGTCCCAATTAAAATCTCAGCAAGCTATTTGGAGTGTTGACAGAATTTCCTAGATAGTTACTAAAAATGAAAAGTCAGGACTAACACTGCTTGCCTTTAAAACTTATTATAAAGTTACGATAATCAAGACAATGGTATTGGTGAAAGAATAGATCAATGGAACAAGATAAAGGGCCCAGAAATAGACCCGCATCAATGTAGTCAACTGGTCTTTGACAAAGGAGCAAAGGCAATTCAGTGGAGAAAAGATAGACTCTTAAATGATGTGGGAACATCTGGATATTTGTGTGCAAAAAATCTAGATAGACTTTTACACCTTTCATAAAAATTAAAGAGATCAAAGACCCCAAGTATAAAACATGAAACTGTACAATTTCCAGAAGATGACTTGGGAGAGAATCTAGATAACTTTGGGTTTGGCAGTAAGTTTTTAGGTAGAGCACCAAAAGAATGATCCATGAAAGAAAGAATGGACTAATTGGACTCCACTGAAATTAAAAACTTCTCTGCAAAAGACATTGTGTAGAGTCTCTTTGAACCAAAAATGAAATGACAAGCCACAGACTGGGAGAAAATACCTTCAAAACATATCTGATAAAGGACTTGTATTGAAAATATACAAAGAACTCTTTCAACAATAACAAACAAAATTTAGAAATGGCGAAAGATCTGAACAGACAGTTCATCAGAGAAAATACACAGATGGCAAACATGCATATGAAAAGTTGCTCAACATAATTTTTCAGTAGAGACTTGCTAATTAAAACAAGATTAACACTACACACCTATTAGAACGGCCCAGAGCCAAACAGCTACAACACCGAGTGCTAGTGAGGATGCGGAGAAACCCCCTCTCCATTGCTGGTTGTAAAAGGGTAGGGTTGTATTGAAAAACAATTTGGCAATTTCTTAACTAAATTATATTCTTACCACACAATCCAGCAATCCTACTTCTAGGAATTTACCCAGTTGAGTTGAAAATGATAGAAAGAAATGAACTTTCAAACCAGGAAAAGCATGGAGGAAGCTTAAGTGCATGTTACAAAGGAAAGATGTCTGAAAAGATTACACACTGTATGGTGCCAACTGTATTATATTTTGGAAATGACAAAGCTGTAGGGTTAAAGATTAATGGTTGCCAGAGGCTTAGGGGTAGGGGATCAGGAGGTAGGGATTAATAGGTGACATATAGGACTATAAGGCATTTTTAAGTTACCAAAACTATTCTGTGTGGCACTATAATGTTGGACACGTGGCATTATATATTTGTTAACGCCCATAGCACTGATCCTCACAGAGTAACCCCTAATGTAAATGATGAGCTTTAGTTAGTAACATGTATCACTTTATGTTATGTCAACATTGGTGCGTTAATTGAAACAAATGTACTACACTAATGCAAGATGTTCATACGGGGAAACTGGGTGGGGAAGCATGGAACATCTAGAACTGTTGTTAAAGAATAAAAGTCATTTAAAAATAGGATCACTCTTCAGAGCCCCACAGCCTTGGTACCCAAAAGCCACACTTGGCATCTGGACAACAGCTGGGGGATAAGCATCTGGTGTCTGTTTCCCGAAAAATCAAGTCATTGTTTAGGGCACAGAGCCTGGGAGTGGGGGCGGCAGGACCTGAGCGACATGTGAGACAGTCCTGACCCTGTCATTCACCTGCTGTGTGACTGAGTCAGTCATCAAACCTCACTGAGCCTCGGGTCCCCTACCTGTAGTGGCTGCCTTATGGGTAGGATGTTAACAAAAATGAGATGAGACATTCCACGGCAAGTGCTTCAAATACTCGCTAGCTGGAGGAAGGCCTCAATCTCCTGGTCACGCTAAGAATGAACGGGGGAGGCCCTGCTCTGCACCACCCCCTGCTGGTCACTGGAGGCCCAAACACCTGCTTCCTTCCAGGGCTTACTGAACATTAGACTTTCCAACTGCAGAGGGCACGAGCCATCAGCTCCCTGCAGTGGGAATACAACATGAGGCAGGCTTAGCTGAGGGGTGGGGCTGGGAAGGGCTTCTGAGAGGGGCATTTGAAGTAGGTCCCATAGACGGGGCCCATTCCAGCTGAGGACGTGGCCTGAGCAAGGCTGGGAGGCTGGGTAAAGCATGGTGTGTCTCGGGACTGGTGAGTGGCCTGGTGCATGCCACTGACCCGGGAGAGAACCAGGACAGGAAAGACCTGGCACACAGGTCCCTTAGCCCAGGCACTCGCTTCAGACACGAGGAAACAGGCTCAGAGAGGCAGGAAGAGCCCTCCAAAATGTCACACTGGATGGAAACAGATGTTTCCATCTTGGGATCTAGTGGATTTAGAGAGTTTAGATAAGGAAGGAAGGTAGATGATGATGATAATGGATAGATGTGCTAAGCATGACTAGGGACTTCAGAGACGGTACAGTATCTAATCCACAAAAGTATATGAGCTACATATTCTTGTTCCCATCTTATAATTGCTCTTTGGGAAAACTAAGACACAGGTTAAGAAAGTTCCCATGGTGTTCAGGATTTTAGGAGCAGAAACAGGGAATTAACTGGGCCCTTGAAGATGCGGTTGAATTCGCCAGCCCTGGGTTCCCTGTCCTCTCTTTGACATAGAGATCTTCCATCAGTAATTTACTAAGTCAGTTACCTTGGGTTTTTGGTCCCTTGCAGGTAAAAGCATTCTCACTGGTGTGAGGATGAACCCTGAAGCCTCTGCATGTCATTCAAGGCTTAAATCCCACAGCCCTGTTTTGTTTTTTAAGGTTTTTATTTGAAAGGCAGAATGATAGAGAGGGGGTGGGAGTGGGGGAGCAGAGACAGACACCTGCCATCCACTGGTTCACTCCCCAAACAGTCACAACAGGCCAGGAGCCCAGGACTCTGTCTGGGTCTCCCTGGTGGGCGGCAGGCATTTGGGCCATCTTCCACTGCTTTCCCAGGTGTGCTAGCAGAGCATCTGGGACTTGAACCAGCATTGAGATACCTGGGCTGCAAGCAACCAGCTGTGCCACAATGCCAGCCTCCTGCAGTTCTATTTCTTGTCAACATCTTCGGCTATAGCTGGAGCCCGTAACTGCCTACTCCCAGGACGGGCCAATTCTCTGTGGTCTTCGACTATTTGCGTTTACATTTGCTCTTCCGCTGAGGGTCCTCCCAGCTGTGTTTACACACCGTTCCCCCTTCTTTCCTGAACTGGCTGCTCCCTTCCCACCTCTGCAGAGCCCAAGCAGCTCTGGCTCACAGGTACCACAGCACCCTCCTACGTGACCACCATTGCCCTTGCCATGAAGGTCATTCTGTGTCCTTGCTGCTCAGCACAGGGCCCAGCCCAGAGCACATGAGTAGCTACTCAAGTAGCTATGGCATGAATAACGAGGAGGGAGCCATCTGAGTCCCCTGGGGCTCGCACAGAGAACCGGGGAGGCAGCGTCCCAGGCAGCAGCATTAATGGCAGCGATCGGTGAGTGCCCTTGGCTGCAGCCAGGCCAGGTCCTTCTCAAATGTCATCTCATGTGCTCTTCCTCATGGGTTGACTTTATCCCCACTTTGTAGATGAGGAAAGTGAGGTGCAGAGGCACAAAGCAGTGTACCCAGACCTGGGGTTTAAACAGGGCTGTTGCTAAATGAAAACAAAAATGAACTGTGCCTGTGTGCGTTTATGTGTGTGATTTCAATATGACAGTAGGACCATTGGCAATTTTCCAACTTTCTCAGTATTTCTAATTTTGTCTCAGGAGCATAATGAGGGAAGATGAAAACAGGTATAGCCAAAGGGTTAGAGGATTAATGTTTGGCTGGGCCACGGGCCTGAGGTCTTCCCTTTTTTTTAAAAACTTTTTTTTTAATGTGTTTATTTATTAGAAAGTCAGAGTTACACAGAGAGAGGAGAGGCAGACAGAGAGAGAGAGAGAGAGAGAGGTCTTCCACCCGCTGGTTCACTCCCCCAGTTGGGCGCAATGGCTGGAGCTGCGCTGATCTGAAGCCAGGAGCCAGGAGCTTCTTCCAGGTCTCCCAAGTGGGTGCAGGGGCCCAAGTACTTGAGCCATCTTCTACTGCTTTCCCAGGCCACAGCAGAGAGCTGGATCGAAAGTGGAGCAACTGGGACTCGAACCAGCGCCCATATGGGATGCCAGCACTGCATCCCTTTCTTACAGGATCCTGTAGGAGAGCAGGGAGCCGCATAATTCTGCTCCCAAGATGTGCTCCAGGCAGGACAACATCCCATCTCCTGAGTGCCTTACTCTCTCTTCAGGGCTCTCATGGGTTTGGGGAAATTTTCATTGAGTTTTATTTCCTTCCTCCTTCCTCTCTCTCTGTCTCTCTCTTTCTCTCTTTCTTAAATCACTCTTTCTTTTAGCCTGAATGTGAAGATAATGAATGTGTATCGCTTAAAATTTTTCAAAATTGCTTGAGTATTTTTTACTTAAAAGAGTTGAATCGAAGGTTGTTGGGGTGCAGTTGGGGAAAGAGGAGAGGACACAACCTCCAAAACATAAACCCTTTCATTCTTATTTATAGAAAACTGTAACCACCTGCAGTGCCGGCATCCCATATGGGCGCTGGTTCAAGTCCTGGCTGTTCCACTTCTGATCCAGCTCTCTGCTAATGCGCCTGTGAAGGAAGAGGAGGATGGCCCAAGTGCTTGGGCCCCTGTACCCATGTGGGAGGCCTGGAAGAAGCTCCTGGCTCCTGGCTTCAGCCTGGCCCAGCCCTGGTTGATGCGGCCATTTGGGGAGTGAACCAGCAGATGGATAATCTCTCTTTCTCTCTCTGCCCTTTAAATAAATACATAAGATATTTTTAAAGTACTATGTGTGCTGACACCTTCTCCAGGGACGCCTCCTGACAGTCAGGTAAGATCCACTGTTCTTTCCCACCTGGAGCTGGCTGGAGCCCCAGGACAAAGGTCTGGGGGCAGCAGGAGGCAAGGCCGGCAAAGCTCAGGAGAGGGGGTTGGCTTTGGCCAAGGCCTTGGCTAAGAAGTGCAGGAAGCAACTGAAGCAAGCGGCCAGCCCCCTACAACCAGGCCTCTGTGGCCAGCGTCCCCAGTCCAACCCTGATGAGAGAAGGGAGGCCTCCGTGTCCCCGTCTATGAAATGGGAAACTCAGAAAACTCACCAGGATGGGGCCAGTTAAAGGGAGGCCCAGGCTGGGGGAGGCTGAATCCAGCGCAGGGGGACGGGCCTGGACCAGGGGGAGCTCCCACAGCTCACGAAGCGTGGCTTTAGAGAAACTGCCGTTCTGCTCCTGGCTGGGGAAGCTGATGTCGTCTATGAATCGTTTCTTCTCCTTGCAGCATGAGTGTACTTTTCCCCATCCTCGTCCCATCTCACGTAAACCCCTGGTGCCAGTTTCTGCCTCCTCCCAGCTGGCCTCCTGTGCTGTATAAGGCAGCGTGACCGGTGAGAAGGCTGTAGGCACGTGTCCCTCTCCCCTGGCCTGCCCCAACCTCGCCAGGGTAGAAGCCTGTGGCGGGGGGTGCAAAGAACTCTCAGTTTGTATCCGAAGCCACAGCCGCCTCCTGATCTCACTGAAAAACTGCCTGGCTACAGCTCCCACTACAGCTGCCACCTGAGAAACCGGCTAAGTGTCCCAGAAGGACCGGGCCAGCCTGGTGCTCCTGGGGTGGCTGGAGGAAGGTGGCTACGCGCTGAGACCTCTCCCTCGAGGCTGTCCCCGCTCTGTCTGGGCCCCCATGCCCTGCTGGGGCGCGGGGCAGCGGCAGCTACCGGTTAACACAGACCAGACCAGCTCGTTCCCCGCGAGGCTCGGCCGCCTTCCTCCTCGCCGGCCTTGGGGATATTTGAAACCCCGCAGAGGCCAGGGTGGAGACCGCAGCTCCATGACGTGAGCGCATTTGATCTCCCTGGGAGGAGAGGCACGGACTGGTCCTCAGCTCCGTGCAAGCCACTCGTGGCTCCCTGGCTAGGACAGGCAGGGAGCCACCGGCAGGGCAAGGCCCACAGGCTTGGCCAGAATGGCGGGAGAGGCCGCTGGGTCGCTGGGCACCGCCAAACCAGGTGCGTGAGCTTGCTGTGGGCGCTGGATGCCCACCAGGGAACCACTCGCCTCCCCCCCTGCCACCTCAGGTGAGGGACTTCATAAAGTTCGTGGAAAAGGGAGTTGAAAGCTACGTTTCTTTTGGTACAATAATTTTTTTGATATCCATTGTATATTGAGGTCTTCCAAAAATGCATATTATGAAAAAAAAAACTTTGCATGGATTTTAAATATTTTACACCCAAGTAAACATATCTTGTAAAATCCCATCTATCATGAACTTGAAGTTGCCTCCTACTTTCAGAGCTGTATAAATCCCCAAGGAAGCAAAGTTCCATCGAAAGCCCATGAGTGGGAGACCAGGAGGAAGCACCTGGCTCCTGGCTTTGGATCGGTGCAGCGCACCAGCGGTAGCGACCATTTCGGGGGTGAACCAACGGAAGAAAGACCTTTCTCTCTGTCTCTGTCTCTCTCACTGTCTAACTCTGCCTGTAAAAAAAAAAAAAAAAAGAA